TATTTTTCAATGTAGTTGTGTAAGATTGACTCGGAATGTGCGGAGGATGCATCATTTTATTGTATTGATTTTTGGGTGTATTTTTTAATGTAGTTGTGTAAGATTGACTCGGAAGGAAAAGCTAGGAAGGTTACTAGTTGGTCTTGTGTGGTTGTCAAGGTATGGTATATACACTTGAAGTTCAAATGGTTATGGTGTTTTTTTCATGCTATGTGTGTGTTTAAGTGTTTGTGTTTTGCAGGATTTTGGAGAGGAACACGAAGCATATAATGTTCTTTTGCAGCACGTGAAAGTTAACTGAGTTGTAACCCACATTAGATTTATGGTTATCAATTTGAAGTTTCTTTGTAAGAGTCCAGTGAATTTCACCTCTATGGAGGATTTTGATGGATTATGGTTTACAATTTTATTTATCTCATAGTTGCTCTTCTCTTATTCAGTTAACTCTACTGTGATTGTCTCTGTTACTGAGATTTCCCTGAGTGAAATTTATGCTAATCAAAACTCGAACTAGAAGAGTAACCCGGTGGCCCGATTGTTTTAATCTCATTCACTATTTTTGTTATTGTAAAAAATATTGGAATAACAAGGATTTTCATTGGACGACCACTCTTTTAGTTCGGGTATGTCTGGATTGATGGAATAAAATGTAATGAAATTGTATAAAATTAAAAAAAGATAGAATAGAGCGGAATCGGATGAAAAACATTCTATCACTTTCCATCAATTTTTTATACCCTTAGATTTGGGTGGGATGATAAAATTGCTCTTTTCTGTCATAAAATATTCAAGGCTCAATTCATCTTTTAGTCCCTTAAGTTATTTTATTGTTTCTAGTTAGTCCCACGATTAAAAAACGTTCCAATGTAATTCTTTAAGGCTACTCCGTTAGCATAATGAATCCCCTATGTTAGTTTTTTGTGGATAAAACGTTAAAACGCGCCTATGTGAAATTGTTTGATACTTAGGTGACATTGTTTTTATTTTTTTCACCCTATTTTCTTTTTGATGTGTTAATACGAGACCTTTGGTGTTGCTTCAATCCTTTTTGTTTTCTTTTTTAGTAACTAATATCTTAAACTCTTCAACTACTCTCAAAACTTCATAGTTGCATTTTCATTCCTTAAAAAAATCGTAGCAGTTGCGAAGAAGAAGACGATTGTGGTTGAAGGCTACAATAGTTTGAGAAGACGATAGCAGAAGAAGACACGTAACGAGTCAAGCATTTTAAACAGGTACGTCTATGCACTCATCATTTTAAAAAGCATTTGTTTTTACAATTTCTTTTACTTCGATGTGTGATTCCTGAGGTATGTTGTGTGACTAGGTCATGAGTGGTGATAGGTTTGAGTGTGTTGTCCATCATAGGGGTGAGTTTTGTGAGCTTAGCAAATATGGTTACAATGATTTAGAGGAGATTTGGCAAGTTAACCCAGATTTTTGGAGTTATTTTGAGATTCTAGGTGGGTTGAAAGATTTGGGGTATCCAAAAGTTGAGAGGTTATGGTATTATGATGCAATGGATGATAATGAGCTAGTGATGTTGCAAGATGAAGCATGGACAAAGAGAATGAAGACCATTGCTCTGATTAATGAGAATGTTCATCTATATGTAATGCATCCAGTGTATGGGGAAGAGCAAATATTGCCTCTTGAGAACAATGTAGGTCCAAATGGTGAAAACAATGTAGATTCAAATCCAAGTGTTGAAAACAAAGTTGGTCCAAATGCTGCAGAAGACGATAATTTGAAAGATGACATGTTGGATGAATTGGATAATGGTGTAAAAGGAACTTTTGATGACTTGGGGACCATTGAAGAATTGAATAATATAGGTGACAATTTTGATGAAGGAGGGCCCACAAGATTTGAAGATTTAGCTGCAGTTGAGCAAGAAGCTTCACTTGAGGATGTTAATATGAATGAGACCATTGAGGGCAATAACCAAAAAGAGTCATGTCAGGATGTTAGCTTTGAGGGGGAAACAGTGACTGAGGATGCAATAGTTGATATTACTTTAAATGGAACCATTGGACATATGGTATGTGACAAAGAAGATGATGTATTGGATGACACACCCTACTTGGTGAGTGTTCAAACTGATGCTATCAATGGAGAATCTCCTTGGAGCAAAACAAATGTTATTGACCTGCAACCACCCATCATAAAAAGACAATTTGGCATACCCAAGAAGAAAAGGAACAAAAATGTTGGGGAACAAGTTAGAAACGAGACATAACTCAAAAGGGTCAAATTTGGTATCAAGTGCAGCAGGTGCCATAAAGATGGTCACAACAAGGCCACTTGCAAGCTGCCTACAACTGCTGCTGCTACATCAATACAACCACCACCAACTGCTACTACAACAACACCACCACCAACTGCTACTACTACATCAACACCACCACCAACTGCTGCCACATCAACACAACCACCAGTTGCTGTTGCATCAAGCCTACCACCAACACCAATTGTTGCTACATCAAGCCAACCAACACCAATTGTTGTTACATCAAGCCAATCAACATCAGATGGAGGTTCAACTCAGCAAATGTCCAAAAAGATAAAGAGATTTCAAAAGGGTCTAAAACCTGTTCTAAACCAACCATAAGGTTATGTTCATCTTTGACGTGTACTAGTTATTCCAGTTTTTGCCTATTATGTAGTTTAAAATTAAGGCTTATAATGTCACTTTTGTTGGATTTCAATTGCTGTAACATATGGCATTAAATGCCTATTCTTTAGTTATGTCTAATGGCTTGCAATGCCACTTTTGTATTGACTTGTAATGTTACTATTACAACTAATGTTATGATTTTGTGACTATTGCTATGACCAATTTATGGTGCGCATTTGTTCTTATAAATTATGTGAAATAAACAAAAGTAACATTTAAGCAACTACTTTTCATCAATAAATTTTGACAAATACATAACAATGTTGACAAACACATTTCACAGATACAACTCAACCTCCTTGTTCACAACTACATGTCATTACACAGAAAAACAACCAAGCTAAAAAATAATTGTTACAAATAAAACATTACACAATAAGCTCAATATTCCAATGATTACAAACAATTTCAACCATCCCTTAGTATTGATGATCTCGTTCTTCAATCTGTAAATTTTCTTCTTCTACCTCTGGATCTTCAAACCCCTTTCATCAATAATGTCGTCATCGAACCATTTGAAGAAATTATATCCCTTATTCACATGATTTTTGAAATTTCTGCTACCCCAAAACTTTTTCTCAAAATTGACACTACTCATGTCACCCACGGTACGAAGCACACATTCATCTTGGCAAAAACACTCTCTCCTTTTGTTTTTGCGAATAACCGACCCAGATGTACCAATTGAAGCATTGCTTGAAATTTTAGACATTGGTGATGAAGAAGAAAGATAAACTCTAGGAATGAAGACAAAATGAAAAGAACGAGATAAAGAGAACGAGATGTAGAGAACAAGATGAAGGAAGCTACAAGAAGGAAGATGAATGAACCATGAAGACGAATATGCAGAGAACAAGATGCAGGAAGCTCAATCGTATTTTTTGGAACTATTGACATGAAGCAAACATTTAGCCCTTTAAAAACTAAATTATTTATTCATTTGATGACTAGGCATACAATTAGAACGTCACCCTGACATTTACTAACGGTCTAACACATGAAGTAACAAAATGAATCAAACATGTTAACGGAAGTAATATTGCAGGACCAAATTGAATAGTTTTTTTTTTATTGAGGGACTATATCGTAACTTATAAATAATTTACGGGATTCGAGGACTAATTATCCCAATATTCAAACAATAGAGTGACATCTTTATCCTGTTTTGCTCATCTCTATTTCATTTTGTTCCATTTATTTTATAATATTCAAATATATCCTTATTGAAAAAAAAAACATTTGAACAATAAGGATTTTCACCGAAACTCTTGTCACGTGAGAGATCCACATTTTTTTTAGCTATCGACTTCTCTTAGCAAATGAAAGTGGATAGGAGGAGGGAGATGGAAAAGGGATTAGATTCGAATAATTGGTTCACAACTAAACAAAAGTTTAAGGCTTATTTTCGTACCCAACATTTTGCACCGTATAACATTCAATATTTTATCGCAATTTAATAAAAAAATTAATTTAATTTGAGTGATATCTTTGTGTCATATAATTTTTTTTTGAAGTTCTTCTCCGTTTTAGTTAATTAGCTTGAACTCAATAATTTATATCCTCTTCTATTTTTCAACGTTTTGTATAATTAATCAAGATATTTAAACCACTTGATTTTTGAAATGATATGATTTTCTATTTTCATTTCTAAAATAAAAACACTTTTCTTTTTGCTGAAATTACATTTCATATACTCCGTCTTTAGAAGATTTATGATTGATCTTTAATGCAAACTTATTGTAATGGTTAAATCTTTATCTCTTTATCACATGTCATTTCAACATTTTTTTCTAAAACTTTCCACAAAATCTCTCAATGCATTATATCACACATTTTCTCAAAATCAAGAAAATAAAAATTAAGTATAAGTAGTATTAGTACTCACATAAAATCAATTTATTTCTAAGTGACATGAGCCTCTTTTCTTAGTCTATGATAAAAGACACTTTCCTGTAATCCCATTTGCACAATTTCTAGCTTTTGCAGTCACATAAATCAATTCTCAAATTTATAGCAAGTGCCAGGTAAATAAATATTAATATATACATGTAAAAGGATAATTTAGTCCAAACAATTCAAGCGCGAATTTGATAAAAAATAAATAAAAATATTTTTTTTGCATAAGTTTACTTAAACACAGCTCATTTTTATTTAATATAAATTTTACAAAATAATTTCAACCAAATTCATTTTCGTATCACTTGGCAATACGGAATAAGACGCTCAAAAGTGCAACCTCACGTCATAAATAACCGTCGCTCTTATTAAGTATCACTGGAAGTGGCGCGAAAATCAAAATCTGCTGAAAATTGAAACCACCACAATGGAAGAAGACGGTGGAGAGGGTTCGAGCTTCCTCGTCAGCATCATCGAAAATAGAGCGAAAGAGGTTTCGATCTTCGATTCTTTGATTAACATTCTTCAGTTTCCATGCAAAATCGTTATCTTCATTAGTTATTTTTCATTTTATGCTTCAAATTTTTCCTATTCGATCTAGTAAACTATCAATTTATTTTTCCTATTAGTTCTTCATTGCTTACTTTTCAAATCTTGTTGACTCTTGTAGTTGATTGATCGAAACGAAATTAACACAGTTTTCAGGATTAAGCGGTGGTTTTAATTCTTCTTATTGATCCATACATTTTAGGAATTTCAGTTAAGCGAGCGTTAGAAATTGAAATCTAGATTTGATTTCCAAATTGAAATGTTACGTAATGCAGCATAACTGTTTAATATACGATTTACGTTATTGTGGACTGGTGTATTTGGAGGATTACTTCAGAATGTGAAAAATGCATTTTATGTTTATAGATCATGTTATCATTTAACTACTATATATTCTGTTTTTTAATTTTATTTTAGTTATATTCTATTGTGAAGCATTTCCGTCGATATTCATATCTCCCCTCTAGTGTTTGTTCTTTTGTTAGTTACGTCTGATTATTATATCCAGGTTTCTATTTCGTAGCAATCTGCCACTAATAGTTCTGTGTAGTTAGTTACTGCATTTTCTCCCTTATACTCTTCTAATAGCCATGAAGAAATTTGAACTAAACATGGTAATTCCTTTATTAATAGGATTCTAAGCTTTTTTTTGAAAGGAAATATGATCCTAAACTCGAAACAACTAACAAGTCAGATGGTATAGGTAAAGAGTGAAAACATGTCTTCCATTAATTTATGAACATTACAGAGGGACTTGTGCTTGTTAGGATTTCAGTGGAGTGCTGAGGAAGGTTAAGCCCACGTGTTTTTTTTATAGTTTGATAATATTTTTATGACTTCTAATATAAGAAAGTAGTTCAAGTGAAATAAATGTAATATATAGTGCTTAACTGGGATCGAATCAATCCATCATCTGACAGGTTGGATTAGCTGCTTTTGATTTGAGGTCTGCTTCACTGCACCTTTCACAATATATTGAAACTAGCAGTCTGTATGAAAACACGAAGACATTGCTGCATTTCTATGATCCCATTGTTATCATTGTTCCTCCAAACAAGTCAGCTTCCAATTCTACAAGTGCAGTTACAGAATTGGTTGATAGATTTTATGGTTCGGCCAAGAAGGTACGTGACCATGTCTCCTTTCATCCTTTCTAATGGTTGCTGTCTGACTGTGAAGCACATTTCATTTAGAGTTCATTTATATGCAGGCAGTGTTGTCCCGTGGCTGTTTCGACGATACAAAGGTGTTATCACATACTTTTTGCTTTTCAATTAATTTCAAGAATACATAGGATCCTTTAACAATTTTTTTTTCTCAGAAATGCATTAAAGTTTTGTGTTTTAGGGCGCTATCTTAATAAAAAACCTAGCCGTGAGGGATCCTTCAGCACTTGGTTTGGACACTTATTACAAGCAGTATTATCTGTGCTTGGCCGCTGCCGCCGCCGTTTTAAAGTGGTACTTCCTCTGTCTCAATTAACTTGTCCTTTTAAGGTAATGCATGTCTTAAGAAATATAATTATGCACTCTTTTTGAAGGAGAAATAATCCTTTTTGACTAAAACCTAAAATCTCCTTAGTGTAGAAGTTTGGTAGAATCACTAACTAATATAAGATAAACGGAGGTATCGATAAATAAGGATATTATTACTCCAATCAATAACATTTTTTATTATAGGATTGTTTCTCAAAATTCTCCATTCTTTTGAAGTTAAATTATATTAAGCATATCTACAAAATTTCATATTAACTTAAATTTAATGAATTTATCAGAGATAGGTGTTTGTATATGTATGAAGACAAACATGTGATTTGTGTGTGTCTTTCTTTTGGAGAGCGCTTACATGTATATATTTATGTTATTTAATACTTATTTTCTAAATGTTCGATTAACTGAAATTCTTTTTTGACTATACTTGCCAGGACAGAAGCAGAAAAAGGGGTGGTTGTTACCAATCACTCGTTGTCGGTATGTGCTACATGATTATTCCTTCATTCATGTTTTTCAAATTTATATTAGTTAGATGTAATTTAACTTTCAAGTCAATGTTGCTTAACTTAACAGAAATCCCTATATCTTAATTAAAATAAGGTTATATATACAAGAAACAACTTATGCATTTACAACTTTGAACAATAAAATATTTTTAGCTCCATTAAGTTTTAAGTGCGGCAACTATTTATAAAGTTCTGCTATCAAATAAGTGTAAGAATCCTGCAAGTAGCGTTAGCGGATTGTGTGGAGGTGCATCATGCTTACCTTTACAAAGTTTCATGGATACAAATTCAAATTTAAAATAGTAAATGAATTAATCTCTTTCTTGGGTATTGTAGATTATTTATGGCACAAACATACTATGATGCTTTATTAGAAAAACCCAAGATGCACTGTATCTTTACAGATGTGCACAACCCATATGAAAGCTGGAAAAAAAGTTCCATTTTTTTCTTCAGTAAATAGCTTGAAAGTTGATAAAGGGAGTTACAAATTCACTTTTTACACGATTCATTATGTAAGTCAATATGCTTTAGGGTCCTTAGTAGCATACAAACAATGCACAACTGCAGTAAACTCCGTCAGCTCGTTGTGGTATCTTTCAAATGTTTCAGTACAGAGCTTCAAATATTCAGTTTTGTGCAAGTACACTTAAAGTATTTCTGCTGGTTTCATTATAAACTTCCAAGTTCCAACCTTTATTTTCCATTCAATGGGTTATATATGTTCTTTAGGACAGTGGTCATTGATCACTGCCCAAACCCTGTATACTCTATGTCTTCAATCATAAATACCGACATCATTTTTAAATGATTCTCAATCCAAATTTAGCGCACAGAGGATTGAATCCCCCATTTTTGCGGCACATTTCTCTATTTCAGGTCACCTTTAATGGAACATTTGACCACATGAATATTGATGCGACCAGGTAAGTTTGCTTGCTTTTTTCAGCTGACAGTTGTTCTGTACTGGTGACGGGTGGGCTAGTACAAACTACATTAGCTTTCCCTAAGTAATAATGTGTTGATATAATCTTTCTTGATTCCTGTCCTTACTTTTGTGATATATTCTCAGCAATAAAATTTGGATATAAACTCCATTAAACATTTCATATATCATCTTTTTAGTCTATGATAATGGATTTTGTGATTCAAATTTAAATGCAGCGTCCAAAATTTGGAAATTATTGAGCCGTTTCATTCTGCCCTACTGGGAACAAGCAACAAAAAGAGAAGTTTGTTTCACATGCTCAAGACAACTAAAACTATTGGAGGGCATGTGATTTTCTTATTTATTTCTTTGGATGGGCATGGGAGGGTGTGTGATGATTCACACAAGTTTCCATGCACATCATTAGTTGATTGACATTTTATTTGTTTCCTCCAGGACTAGGCTCCTTCGTGCCAATTTGTTGCAGCCTCTAAAAGACATCGAAACAATCAATGCTCGTCTAGATTGCCTAGTCAGTGTCAATCAAATTCTCAAGTTTAACTTAAAGCTTCTGTTTGCTAACCTTTCAATTTTACTATTGCCATCCTTTTTTGTGTGTGCAAGTTTACCCTTATTATCAAATTAAGTCCTGGTGTACTCTTCTTTAAACTTCAGTGCCCTAGTCTGAAACATCACTAGTAATTATGGTCTGATTTGAATTTTTTAAGCTTGAAAACTGCGGAGTAGAGGTTTTACCTTATTCTTTCATGTTTATTTATTTTGACATGTCCTCTAATATTTCATTTTAGGATGAACTGATGAACAACGAACAACTATTTTTTGCCCTCTGTCAGGTTTTACGTAAATTTCCAAAAGAGACTGGTAAATGAGAGCATTAATTGAACTAACATTAGTCTTAAAAATGTTCATACATCTTTGGTTCTCATACGAACAGGCTGTATGGTTTCAGATAGGGTTTTATGCCACTTCTGCTTTAAGCCGAAGAAAGTTACAATTCAGGCCATGTCAGTTGATCGTGCTAAAAAGAGTCAAGTGCTAGTATCAAGTGTAATCCTCCTTAAAACTGCTTTAGATGCTCTTCCATTACTGTCTAAGGTATCCCCCTCTTTTTCTCTCATTAACACCCATGATAATTAGAGACAGGTATTCCCAAATTTATCAAATAATGAAGAGATATTTCAGATCTTTTATTCTGATAAACATAACAGGCGCTTAAGGATGCTAAGAGTTTGCTTCTTTCAAATATCTACAAGTCTGTTTGTGAAAATGAAAAATATGATCTTATTAAGAAAAGGTATGCTAAAGTTTTCTTATGCCAATGTGTACATGTAACTGTTGCATGTAAGATGAGGAAAACATTATTACATGAGTTAGTATAGTTCTGACGCTACTATGAGGGGAAAACCAGACTAGAATATTCAGAGCAAAATGTTGTTGAATATATAATCAGCAAATATTTGTTTCCCATATTACAAATGCACAGAAGAGTTAATATATGTGAGTTGCTCTATCCTAGTTCACTGCATGTAAACAGTGCACATTAGGTTAAACCTTATCCATAGAATCAAGAAATTGTTTTCTACAAATTGCTATACTCTAGATGGTCACATCACACTGCAATGTAACTATTTATCGAATATTATATACTAATTGATAAAAAAAATTATACTGTTTAATTACAATTATTTCCTACTTAAATAATAGGACTAATCATCTCACAACTTTAGGAAATTTGTTACAGGATAGAGGAAGTTATTGATGAAGATGTGCTTCATGCACGGGTTCCTTTTGTTGCCTGCACTCAGCAATGCTTTGCTGTTAAGGCTGAAATTGATGGTCTCTTGGATATTTCACGAAGATCATTTTGTGAAACCAGTGAAGGTTTATGCATATGTTTGCTTAAGTTTTCTTTCCTGTCGACAGTGTAATATTTCTTTGAGTTCAGCTCACCATGTGAGGCTTTCCTAAAACATTTGGCATTTCCTGCACAGCTATCCACACTCTTGCAAACAACTATCGAGAGCATTTCAAATTGCCAAATTTAAAGCTTACTTTCAAAAACAGGCAGGGATTCCACTTTATTATACCACAGAAGAATATTCAAGGAAAGCTTCCAAGCAAGTTCATTCAGGTTAAGATTGGATTTATGTTTTTATATTTTTAAGAATATCCTTTTAAATTTCTCTTTTCACTGAACATAGTATTTTTTCCCACTTCTACTAGATTGTAAAACATGGGAACAACATTCATTGCTCCACTTTGGAACTAGCATCTGTGAGTAATTTGATCATTTGGATTTCATAGGCATATGAATTCTATTTAACTTACAAAAATAATATACAAAATCAAATTTCTTATTTAAATACATTGATTATACTTATTTGACTGCACATTTTGTTGAAGTCCACTAATGTAAGGATTTAATGTGCGTGCATTGTTTAATAAGATCTTGGTCAAGCTTACTTCATTATTCCCAACAATGGCGTTCAATGGATATATACCACAGAAGGAAACAATCCCTCTGTTCCATCTAACTCCTGCTTTTAGTGGAGACTCTTTATTATATATGATGGGTCATATGATAAGGACGCTTAGATATTTTAAGTGTCACATTTGATTAGACATTTAATCTTTCTACTGGTGAATTTACTTTTGTTTTGTATATGGTTGGCTCCACAAGAATATTCTTTAACTCAAAAAATGGTAAGCATAGTCCACCCTTCTAATTTCAAATATGATACAAAATGAAGCTGCGTTTGTTTTATGTCACATCATCACCAGACTATAAGATGTTTTTTAGAAGCTTGTTTGGGCACTTAAACTCCAATTTTCTTTTATTTAAATGAAACTTGCAGTTGAACGCTAGGAATAAATCTGCAGCTGCAGAATGCTATACAAGAACAGAAGTTTGTCTAGAAGGTACTAGTACTTAATTTAATGTACTGCCAAGTGTCACCTGCCAATACAAACTTTCACGGGCTTGGGCATGTTGGCTTTTATGTTCATTTGTTCATCACACAACTCCCTTTAACTTTGACAAGTGCTAAGAAAGGAAACTATTGAAAGATCATTTTGAGTTGGAAAATTCAGGTTACTCCATGTGAGCAATAAAATTTTCCTGAAATAGTCTATATTCATCCCTGGCCATGGGATTGGAACAGGAAATGTAAGTTAGCATGCAGGTCCTAGTGAGAAATACTGAGATACTCAAGTTACCAAAATCAAAATATAGTATTAAAATTCTCTAGGGTGGGATACAGGCTTACAAGGTTTAATTTATCCAGTTTAATTGCAATTACTGTTCATCAAATGGATTTTGTCTTCAATAAATATTAAAACCAAAAACTTAATTACAAAGTTGGGCATGTAGGTACAAATCCTATATAATTAATGCCTTGAACTTGCAATATCTCATTTTCCGTAATAGTATTTCCCTGTTAAAAATGTATTTAGTGTAATAAAAAACAATTGCAGAACTAATGGATGCGATCCGTGAGAATGTGTCTGCATTGACACTGCTAGCTGAGATGCTGTGTTTGTTAGATATGATTGTTAACTCATTTTCTCATATGATTTCGACTAAGCCTGTGGATCAATATACAAGACCAGAATTTACGGGTAAGAAAATTGGTAATATCTGTAACATTTTTTTTACTGTGATAGAGAAAACTCTTTATTGATATTTTATTTTTATTTGCTAGAAAATGGGCCAATGGCAATTGATGCTGGTAGACACCCAATTTTGGAGAGCATACACAATGACTTTGTTGTAAGTAATGAACATTTCTCGTAAGCATTTTAACATCCCCCAACATGGTAACACTTTTTTCATGTTGAAGAATGCACTTTTTTGAGTAAATTAATCATTCGCATTGCAGGCCAACAATTTATTTCTGTCAGAAGCCTCAAACATGGTGATTGTGACAGGACCCAATATGTAAGAAAATAGCTGTTTCACATTCAAGGATAACTGTTACATACTGGAGGATTGGTGATAGAGAAACTCTAGATGAACTTTAGCTCTATATGTAAGACAGCGACTATCTATGAGTCATGACTAATTGTGTTTAGTAAGAGTACAAAATCGTGTATGGGCTTATTAGTGATAAGAAAACCTAGTACAGAGTACAGACTACAAAGGATACATATCATTTTTTTCAGAAGAGGTTGTTGTTTTTGAAAACCCAATAAACAATTGATGCTGATGCTAGACTTAAGTAGATGATGTAAGCATGTCCAATGTATTTCTCTTCAAAGAATGCCTTAAAACCCGACCTCAGTTTTTTGAAATTCTTATGCGTCACTTAAGAGTTTTAGTGTGAATCATTCGTGAACTGCAACAAAGATTACTTTATTTTTGTGTAGCCAACTGTTTAGATGAAAAATATAGTCCTGGAGTTTATTTCTACATTCCTTTCCCCCAGGAGCGGAAAGAGTACTTTCCTTCAACAAGTGTGTCTCATAGTTATTCTTGCTCAAGTTGGGTGTTATGTTCCTGCCCGCTTCTCGACTCTGAGGGTAGTTGATCGTGTTTTCACAAGGATGGGTGCACTTGATAATCTTGAATCAAACTCTAGCACGGTACAATTTCTAGATGCCTGTGTTTTGAAGCTATTTGATTCTGATCACATGGATTTTGATTATATATGAACTTATCTGGAAGTGTAGTTCATGACAGAAATGAAGGAGACAGCTTTTATCATGCAAAATGTTTCACAGAGGTAAAACTACCTTTTGATTTTCTTCATTCTTGGTATGCATGACAGCTTTAAATATTTTGTTTGATGCAGGAGTCTGATTGTTATGGATGAACTTGGTAGGGCTACTTCTTCATCTGATGGATTTGCAATTGCTTGGAGCTGCTGCGAACATCTTTTGTCACTTACAGCGTAATTGTTGCTTAATCATTTATCACTTGACATTTTTAACAAAACTTCTTTGGCATAGATTTCTGGTAACTAATAAAACAAAGGTCTTGGCTAGCTTTTTGATTTACCGTTACTTCAATGGAAGATAAATTGAAAAATCAGACATTGAAGCACTTGAAAATTTGGAGCTAAAATTTCCATCACTGCTTTGGTATTGAATCGTTTATATGATTAACCTTCCGATCTTCTTAGCCATATTTATTATCTTTCTTCAGGTATACCATATTTGCCACTCATATGGAAAATATCTCGGAATTAGCAACAATATATCCTAACGTGAAAATTCATCACTTTCATGTTGAATTAAAAAACAACCATTTGGAGTTCAAGGTGATATCTATAATTCCCTATCTTTTTTCTCTTGCATCAGATTACTATCTTCAGACTAATATTTTTCCTTACTTAGTTTCAACTTAAGGAAGGACCGAAGCATATACCCCATTATGGGCTTCTCTTAGCAGAAGTGGCAGGATTGCCAAGTTCGGTTATTGAGACTGCCAGAATGATCACATCAAAGATTTCAGAAAAGGTGATTATATTAATACTAGCATAACTAGGATGTTCGTTTAAATGAGGTACACTTTAGTTCTCCATTAATGAAAAGACAATCAAGCTTGAATCCTTAAATTATAAAAACTCTTGGAAGAAATTTCAGTGCAAACAGAAGAGAATCAAATGCTTATATTTTTATATGAAATCTCATACATGAATGCATACAAAATTTGTAGCCAAATGCAGGTAAAGATCTTTCCCAAGTATTTAAGTAACATGTTCACTTCTACTATTTCATTAAGCTGTCATCACTGTGATTGTGCCACTGCCATCTATGAATACATCTAATAAATTGCACAAAATTGGGAGCTTCTAGTATAATTTTCATATCCACTGACATGTTAAGTAGTGAACAAAGAGCACATTTTAAACATAAACAGGCACTAAGCACTAACACTAACATGCGATATTGAATCACTGTCGTTAGGAAAAGAAAAGAATGGAGATCAACTGCTTGCAGAATCACTCAATCCAGAATGCTTATCATGTTGCACAAAGATTGTTATGCCTGAAATATTCCAATCAAGATGAGGATACAATTCGGCAAGCTTTGCATAATCTCAAGGAATACTGTGTCAAACAAAAGCTTTAAAAATGGCATACAGACAATTTTTTCCACGGGCTGATTCTTTTCAGCATATGCAACTGTTATTAGATTGAATAATATGGGGAAAGAATTTTTAGTCAATTGCACCACAATCAGAACTTTACTAGAGTTTAAATGTAATGCTCCTTTTTTTTTCTTTTTCTTTTTTCTTTTTTCCGTGATGAAGAAAAATTGATTTGATTTTAGAATTCATAGCCTACTTTGTTTTGTTTTATAAGTATTTTGACTGCCCGGGTAAAAGGTGTAAGAACAACAAAACGCATGAAACGATAATTGCAAATAATAGGCAAGAGATGTCCGGTAAAGTTTGGCCAATTGTGCATATGTATGCTAGTATAGAACAATGCGACTATAGAAAGTGCAGTTTGAACATGCAGTTTGATTTGATTTAGTTGACTTTTAGAAATAAAATCAAACCAAACCAAACTAATACGGTTTGGTTTGTTTCAGTTGATTCGTTTTAGCTATTTTTTTGTGACCTTTTGGCATTTGTAATTTTCCAAACTTTTATGATTAATAATTAGTGAGAGTTAAGCTCAAAATTAGTGTCAATTATGAGCAATTTAAGACTTGGATTAATATAAATAGAGACTTACGAATTTATCTTTAACATCATTTTTTACCACTATCATTCCATACAATTGTAGTTTTCTTGAATTCTTAGCTTAATGCTTTTGCCACTTCTTATAGCTTTTGTAATTTATTTATTTTTGCACTTTTATTACAATCTTGTCTTCGTTTTAATTCAAAGTTGTTATTTCTTTTACTTGCTATAATTTATTTATTTCTTTTGCAAATGTTTCTAAATATTGTTATTGTTGTTTACTTCACCATGTATGAATAGTCTCTTAAAAATAAGGAGTTGTGAGAGTTTAACTCATGACAACCTCTAACATTTATCTGCTATATGTATTAGCGTTTTTGTACATTGGACGATATAAACTGATTTTAGATGTGTATTGTGCATTTTAGTATTAGGAAGCATGTCAACATGTTTAAAAATGCCCTTGAAAGGATTCATGCATTTTAGATGTGTATTGTGCATTTTAGTATTAGAAAGCATGTCAACACGTTTAAGAATGGCAGAAAATGATAGTAGCAGTTTCATACAGTCTGCTATTCCCAAGTTTGATGGTCATTATGACCATTGGATGATGTTGATGGAAAATTTTCTTCGTTCAAAAGAATATTGGGGTCTCATTGAGAATGAGATATTGGTTGTGGCAGCAGAAGTAGAGCCAACAGAGGAGCAACACAAATTGATTGAAGATCAGTAATCGAAGGACTTGAAGGCCAAAAATTATCTTTTTCAAGCAATTTCTCGTGATGTGCATGAAACAATCCTCGATAAGGATACATCCAAAAGTATATGGGATTCAATGAAGAAAAAATTTCAGGGTTCAAACCGAGTCAAAAGAGCACAACTGCAAGCTTTACGAAGGGATTTTGAAATTCTTCATATGAAAGAAGGAGAATCCGTTAATGCTTATTTCTTTCGCACTTTAACCATTGCTAATAAAATGAAAGCTCATGGTGAAAGTATGAGTCAAACAATCATCACTGAGAAGATTTTGAGATTAATGATCTCAAAATTTGATTATGTGGTATGCTCAATTGAAGAATCCAATAACTTGGACTCGATGTCTATTGATGAGTTACAAAGTAGTCTTCTTGTTCATGAACAAAGGATGAAAATCCATGGAGGAGAAGAACAAGTTCTTAAGATATCCCATGAAGATAGAACTGGAAGAGGAAGAGGTAAAGGCGTGTTTAGAGGAGGTCGCGGAAGAGGAAGGGGGCGACAACCCTACAACAAAGCTGTTATAGAGTGTTTTTGTTGTCATCGGTTAGGACACTATCAATACGAGTGTCCTGATTAAGAGCAAAAGGCCAACTATGCTGAATTTAAAGAGAAAGAAGAAGAAGAAATATTATTGATGTCCTATGTTGAAATCAAACATGACAAGAAGGAAGAATTGTGGTTTCTTAACTCCGGTTGCAGCAATCATATGAGTGGAAACAAGGAGTGGTTCTCAGATTTAGATGAAGGCTTTAGACATCCAGTAAAACTTGGAAATGATAGTAGAATGGCTATTATTGGAAAAGGCAGTGTTCGTATGCAAGTGAATGGATTTACTCAGGTAATTTCTAATGTTTACTATATTCCTGAGTTAAAGAACAATTTATTGAGCATAGGACAATTACAAGATAAATGTCAATCGATTTTGATTCTTCATGGAAAATGCATGATATATCATCCAACAAAAGGATTGATTATGGAGACAATCATGAGTGGAAATAAAATGTTCTGTTTGGTGGCTTCGATGGTGCCAAATGAGTCTACATGCTTTCAAAACATATAAGAAAATGAATCTTATCTTTGGCATCTTCAGTTTGGTCACTTAAGCTATCAAGGATTGAGGACATTGTTTTATAAGGAAATGGTGTTGAAAATTCGCCTCACACCCTATGAAGAATTCCCTTCAATCTTGATCTCAAGATTGATGAACAAACCCACAATATGATAGTAATGGTAATAACAAGTAATTATCAAGAACAACAAAAGAAAGAGAATAACAAACAAGAAAGAGAAGAATGAGAGAAGAAATATTTTGAGAGAATGTGTTACCCACAACTGTGGGATTTCTTATTGCTTATAGAACTTTCACTTGCTCAAACTGCAACTGTGAAATCTGTTCTATGTTGTGTTGTATAAAATACAAAGCAAGACACCCTATTTATAGTTTTAGGTTTACAAAAGCCCAAAACATAAAAGGCCCAAAATATTCAAATCAAATCTAATCATATCAAATCAAATATGTTTTACACTATGAATTATATTTAACACACCACCTAATTCATTGTGTCTAAACTCTCTACATTCATCATGGCTCTTAGTCTTCTGAAGGCTTCGACCTGCACTCCCTTCGTCATGATATCTGCAATCTGATTCTCAGTTATGCAGTGTTCTAACTTCATCTTCCCTTCTGCTACCTGCTCTCGAAGATAATGGAACCTCATTTCGATATGTTTGCTTCGACCATGAGCTATTGGATTCTTCGCCAAGTTGATAGCTGACATGCTGTCTATCTTCATGGTAATTGCTCCATGATTCTTTCCTGTGATTTCTTCGACTAAGTTCACCATCCAAGTTGCTTAACATGCACAAAGAGAAGCAACTATATATTTTGCTTCGCATGATGACAATGCCACTACTGGTTCCTTTCTCGAATTCCAAGCAACTGGTGCACCACCTAACATAAACACATAACCAACTATGGATTTTCGATCCTCAGCATCACTACACCAACTGGAGTCTGTGTATCCCACTAACTTGCATTCTTTTCCTTCATCAGCTGTTGGAAACAAAATACCATAGTTGAGAGTTCCTTTCAGATACCTCAGTATCCTCTTCGCCGCTGCTAGGTGTGATACCTTTGGCTTCTGCATGAATCTACATACCATACCAACAATGTATGCTAAGTCAGACCTTGTGTGACAAAGGTATCTAAGTGACCCAATAAGTCTTCTGTATTGGGTTGGGTCGACATCATCTTCATCTGAATCCTTCGACGGTTGCAATCTGGGCTCAGCTGGAGTCGAAGTTTGGTTGCAATCTTGCATCTCAAACCTCTTGAGTATTTCACCTGCATATCTTCTTTGATTCATCATCAAACATCTACTTGTCTTGTAGAATTCGATGCCAAGGAAATATGAGAGGTTTCCCAAGTCTGACATTTCAAACTCCTCACTCAGGTCATGTTTGAAATCTTCGATCTCCTTCTTGCAACTCCCTGTTATCAACAAATCATCAACATAGAGACATAGTATAAGCAATTCGCCATTGCTTCTTCTTACATATACTCCATGCTCATTTGTACACTTCACAAATTCCTTCTCCCTTAAGAAGCTGTCGATTTTCTTATTCCAAACTCTTGGAGCTTGCTTAAGTCCATACAGGGTTTTATGAAGCCTGTACACCTTTCTTTCTTCGCCTTGTTTCACAAACCCAGCTGGTTGTGCAACATACACTTCTTCGTCTAAGGGGCCATTAAGGAATGCACACTTCACGTCCATCTGACATGTGTGCCAGTTGTTCATATTTGCTAGACCAACAACCAACCTGATTGTTTCGATTCTAGCAACAGGTGCAAATACTTCATCGAAGTCGATTCCTTCCTTCTGAAGAAATCCTTTCGCCACAAGTCTCGCCTTGTGTCGAGTTACTTCTCCTTTAGGATTTACCTTTGTTGTACTTTCAACTAGGGAGCATTGAAAATAGTGGGACTTTTTTCTAGAGCAACCTTTGTGAGAGACACGCCACATATTCACCTAAAATCTTAAGGTGATATGTGTATGGGTGTCATACCCCAAATTTGTCCTACTTGTACAACTTTCATTCAGTATATCCACCCCCCAGTTATTATAAAATTCAAAAAAAAATAATATGTTGCTTATGCTCATGGACCACACTCACAATATCACAGGGTCGAAATAAAAGTGTTGCGAGATTCACGTGAGGTTTGTCAAGGAAGATCATGGTATAAAGTTCCAGGGGTGCACGCTCGGAGTCTCAGTTAAGGTTTATGGGTGGACTCAAGGTTTTGGTACAGCTGTAATGCAGTCCATATCAAGTTATCATCTCCTGATTTCAAGACTTTTGAGAAGTCCAGTTTATAAAGAATGATTGTGGTTCAGCTACAACCCAATTGATGTTAGATCAAGATAACTCCATTTCTTTATCAGGCCAGGATGAGAGTATGAATCAATTCAGTGTTCTATTTGAGTGAAAATCCAAGAATGATGTTTATGGGAGTCATGGATTATGGATTATATTTTGAAATTCTAAGTCACAAATTAAGGTTATTCATGATCATGATTAAGCATGATTCAAAAGCACGGACGGAGGATTAATTCATTTTTCTGGTTTCATTTATTTTATGTGAAAGTTCAATAAGTGTGCATAATAGATGAGGGAATTGACT